TAATTTGAAGGCCAATGTAGACAAGTTATTATCGAGGCACCCCCCCCCCCACCCCGTTTGCTATGCGTACATTGTCAGTAGACCCCCCATACGCAAGCGCACACATTTGGGTTAACCCGCCCTCCCCCCTCCATACGTACTAAATGTATTGCCCCTATAGGCATGGGCGTGATTCCTACTGTGTGCATACATGTTGCTACTACTGTGTTTATGTGGGTGAATCTATTGATATAAACCAAGGAGGTGAAACTGAATAGCAGCCTGAAGCAGCAGCGCCACTTCATGAACGTTGTGTATGGAGGTTAATCCCATGAAGCTCGTTTGTGTTATCCACCATCACATTTGTGCATACGACCTCTTAACAATGCAGCTAAATCCATAACACTATTGTGGTTGTGAGACAAGCTCCGGCCCTGTCCATTGAACAGCAGTCTCCACCAGCTGGAAGCAGCACACGCGGGTTATGATTAAATACTAAGACACTGGAGCAAAGTCTGAGTAATAAAATCAACTGACTATAATGGGCCAAATTGCCACACACCAGAGCAAATTCTAAAGAATAAACTATAATGTATAACACTTGACAAACCGCCTCTGCATTCACACCTTCATGAGCTGGAGAGAAAGTGTAATGTTACAGAGGTAAATCCATTTAATGATTTTGGGTGTATGTGATGAGTATATCTGCCTTGGTATATAATCTACGTTGTTTCATGACATTTTCACGTATATTCCTTATTGAAATATATGATTGCATCCTTGTGTTACTGAACAGTAAAAAATAAAATTTCAAAACCTCCACATTTAAATATGGAGTTGAGCAATATGTTTGCCGTTGCCACTGCCCAAAAAGGTGCATTTTGAGAAATTTTTTACGTGCTGCTAATGTACAGATAGAGATTAGGAGCATACTCTTAAAGGGAGTGCTCCTAATCTCAGCTTGTTACCAGTATAAAAGACACCTGTCCACAGAAACAATCAATCAGATTCCAAACTCTCCACCGTGGCCAAGACCAAAGAGCTCTCCAAGGATGTCAGGAACAAGATTGTAGACCTACACAAGGCTGGAATGGGCTACAAGACCATTGCCAAGCAGCTTGGTGAGAAGGTGACAACAGTTGGTGCCATTATTCGCAAATGGAAGAAACACAAAAGAACTGTCAATCTCCCTCGGCCTGGGGCTCCATGCAAAATCTCACCTCGTGGAGTTGCAATGATCATGAGAACGGTGAGGAATCAGCCCAGAACTACACGGGAGGATCCTGTCAATGATCTCAAGGCAGCTGGGACCATAGTCACCAAGAAAACAATTGGTAACACACTACGCCGTGAAGGACTGAAATCCTGCAGCGCCCGCAAGGTCCCCCTGCTCAAGAAAGCACATATACATGCCCGTCTGAAGTTTGCCAATGAACATCTGAATGATTCAGAGGACAACTGGATGAAAGTGTTGTGGTTAGATGAGACCAAAATGGAGCTCTTTGGCATCAACTCAACTCGCCGTGTTTGGAGGAGGAGGAATGCTGCCTATGACCCCAAGGACACCATCCCCACCGTCAAACATGGAGGTGGAAACATTATGCTTTGGGGGTGTTTTTCTGCTAAGGGGACAGGACAACTTCACTGCATCAAAGGGACGATGGACAGGGCCATGTACCGTCAAATCTTTCGCAAGAACCTCCTTCCCTCCGCCAGGACATTGAAAATGGGTATTTCAGCATGACAATGACCCAAAACACACGGCCAAGGCAACAAAGGAATGGCTCAAGACGAAGCACATTAAGGTCCTGGAGTGGCCTAGCCAGTCTCCAGACCTTAATCGCATAGAAAATCTGTGGAGGGAGCTGAAGGTTCGAGTTGCCAAACGTCAGCCTCGAAACCTTAATGACTTGGAGAAGATCTGCAAAGAGGAGTGGGACAAAATCCCTCCTGAGATGTGTGCAAACCTGGTGGCCAACTGCAAGAAGCATCTGACTTCTGTTATTGCCAACAAGGGTTCTGCCACCAAGTACTAAGTCATGTTTTGCAGAGGGGTCAAATACTTATTTCCCTCATTAAAATGCCAATCAATTTATAAAAATTTTGACATGCGTTTTTCTGGATTTTGTTGTTGTTATTTTGTCTCTCACTGTTCAAATAAACCTACCATTAAAATTATAGACTGATCATTTCTTTGTCAGTGGGCAAACGTACAAAATCAGCAGGGGATCAAATACTTTTTTCCCTCACTGTAGAATTAATGCAAACAATGATGCGCAATAACGTTTGGCCGCACATGTTTCCAAACAAGGTTAAGCTCTTAAACGAATACTTTCTGTAAATGACGAGAAACGAGAGTAGCAGCAATACACATACGCGGAGGTGATTTCGGTACAGCAAACAGCGTCACTGTGCCCGAATGTCATGTGACATTAGCATAGTGCGTGCACAACGCCTTGGCACCTAAGCTCACAAGGGCGCGCATTAAGCCCTTTAAACATGGGAGCTTTCCATGCCACACACTGCCGTTACGAAGGCCGAGACATCTCGTGCCCACACCGCGGCGTAAACGTGATAGCGGCAGCGTTTAAACGCCAGGATTCTACGCACAGTGCTGCGGGGCGCAATTATCTGTGGCCTTGGCAGCTGCGCGGGAATGCATGTCGACATCACTCATTACACTGCCGTCAATGCCAGCAGCCGAGAAAAGCCATCGCGACGGAGAAGCCAGGAGTTAAGCGTGGCTTGTTCACTTCCACCCCCCTCCCCTTATTATAAATGCCCTGATAAGCTCATGAGCAGGGCGCTTCCGCTTTACAACCCCACCCCCGCCTGCCGAGTGACACAGCTGAGGGCGTGGGGGGCCTGGGGGAGGTGACTGCACCTGACCTCTGTACCGGTTGACCAGAATGGGCCCGTTACGGAACGGCCCCCCCCCCCCACCACGGCTAAGAGCCAAGTGCAGAGTCCACAGTTCAACTCCCGCTACAGACACGCGGCGACAATGCGTGCGCAACCAAATAGCGCGTGCCCAGCTCCGTTAATAGCCAACGGCACCTGTGTAAAGCGCCACTTACGTGACCCGGGCTGATTATGCCTTCCCCGTTAACCGTCGTCGAGGAGTCGATGACACAGCAACACTGCGCCCAGTGCGGCCTCGCTGAGGGCAGTGGGAGGCACGGGCTGGGGGTCGGGCGCGGCGCTTTTCCCCACTCGACACCCCCCACACACTCACACCACGAGCCGAGGCCACTCCGTAATCGAGCAGTCTGTAAAACTCCGGTCCGCGAAGCCTCCTCCTCCCCCACGACGTGAAGGTCAAGAGGTCATCATGGCCAATGCAGCTGAACTAAACTATTTTTTATTTTACCAGGCAAGTATAGCTATTTTTCAGAAGCGACCTGGCCACAATTGATATCTCAACGAAGTGGCTTATCATGTGGAAATGTATAGCTGCCAAATACTCTAAACGCATGTTTCTAAATGTGGAGGAAAAAACTGGAGGACCCGGAGATAAATCCACGCGACCACGGGAAAAGAGAGAACACGCAGACTCCAAATATGCGGCAGGCGTTAGAGTCGGGATTGAACCAACAACCTCCTGCGTACCGGGCGAGGGAGATAACATCTCGCCTTTCGAGGCTCGTGTCACGGGACGCCGCGTGCCCGTGAGCAACCTCCCATCGACCTCTGGTGGGTGCCGCCCCAATGCCCGCATCATCGGCTGCCTCCTCCTCCTCCACCTCCTCCACCACCACCAAGGGCGCGTTCCACACCCATCACGCCACCTCCTCTCCTTTTCCAGCGCACCTCTAAAATAAGCGTTCACACATTCTGTTCCCCTCCAAGTGGCTTACTCCTCTGTCGCCTGTCATTGCATTGATAGCGATCCTCTGCACGCACCTGTATTCAAAAGCCAGACGCTTATTTCCCAGTTGATGTGGTAAAGCCCAGCTCTCTGACCTTATTACCGTAAGGCAGACATTGCTCCCGCCCCAAACCGTCTGAGTATCAGGTTTGACCCTCTCTATCCTTCCACAGTGGTTTACACAGCTACGCGCGGTGTGTGTAACGCACATAACTTCACATCTACGCGACTGCTCTGCCTACTCGCTCTTGCTCACCACAGCGCGCAGGACCTATACTCAGAATCTTTACTTATACCGAAGGAATCCGATGAGCTATAAAGCTCCAGTAGTTTAAACTTGATTTGAAGTTTTCGTGACTGCAGGAATTACTCTTTGGTTCTTTCGGTAAAGTCGCGTGGAAAGAAAATGAATTAAATAAGAGTACGACGTTTCGATTGCAACACAAGCAACCGTCATCAGGTAGAACTCAATTTGAGAGACAAAACACAGACACGGGGACACAGACACACAAGCAGAGAGACAAAACATAGACGCATGTCTACACATGTCTATATTTATGTTGTGTCTCTGTGTTGTCCCTCTCTGCTTGTCTCTGTTTTGTCTCTCAAATTTAGTTCTACCTGATGACGGTTGCTTGTGTTGCAATCGAAACGTCGTACTCTATTATTTAATTTATTTTCTTTCTACGTGACTTTACCGAAAGAACCAAAGAGTAACTCCAGTAGTTTCACAAGATTTCCAGGTCCGGATTCAGCTCCATGCCTAGAAGCAGCCCTGGCTACAGCTCCTCTTAGATTGGGAGGGGGGAGAGGGCAGTACAGCTGTTGTGTGAGAGTGATAGACCGCGAAGGAGGGTGAACTTGGGTCCCCCAAAGACATATTTTAAGATCCCAACACAAGCACTGATATTTCGCCGACCCTGACCCAACCCAGACCACTGCCATCACCACCACCCCCTCTGTGAAGGAGACATCGCTGCGACACACTCCGCTACTCCTGACGCCGCCGATCTGGCTTGCCCACCTCGTATCTGACCGCTCTGCATCTACATCAGCCAATACGAAAGAAAAATAACAGACTACCCCCTCCTCCGTATCTCCGCTCTCTCTCTCTCGCTAGAGCCCCAGGGGCCCGGCATCGCGCGGTACCCACCCAGGTGTAGCCTGAAGAGGCTTGCGAGCTCCGCCGCGGCGCCCTCCTCCTGGACGCGCCACGGCTCCGCGTAGCCCAGCGCCTCCAGGAAGTCTCTCTGCAGGCGCAGGGGCCGCTCGGCGGGCCCCAGCCTGCGGACCACCTCGTGGCCCACGAGCCGCATGTAGAGCGCCGGCTTCTGCCGCCGCGTCGCCGCGGCCTCCTCCTGGCCCTCCTCGTCCTCCACTTCCTCTTCGTCCTCCTCCTCCTCTCCCTCTTCTTGCTCTTCGCCTTCGTCGTTGTCCTCGTCCGAGCGCCTCCCGTGCACGGGGCTCACGGACTCGTGTTGTTGGTGCTGCTGCTGCTGCTGCTGGCGTCTCTGAGTCTGTCGCTTCAGCATCTGCTGCACCTGATTCTGCTGCTGCTTCAACTGCTGCTGCTTCATATGTTGTTGCACATGCTGCTGCTGCTGCTGCTGCGGCGGCTTCACCTGCGGGCGCTGGTTCAGCTTGTGCTTGGCCTGCATCTGCTGCTGCTCATGCATGCGGAGCAGCTCCCGCGCCTCCGTGGCCTCGGTGCAGAGCAACGCGCGGCCGCAGCTCGCGCCGTCGGGCCCGTGGAGCCGCACGCAGCCGCGGGCCCGGTCCCCGCGTAGCCACTCGCGCTCCCGGGCCTCCAGGCGCGCCGCCCGCGGCCTGCAGTGCGGTGCCGCATGCTGGGGCTGCTGCTGCTGGTGGTGGTGACTCTGCTGCTGCTGCAGGGCGGCCCCGCTCGCCGTGGCGCTACGCGGGAAGCGCCGCCGCACTCGGTTCCAGCCCGACGAGGCCACCGCGGCCGCGCTGGGTTCCCTGGGGCTGCAGGCGCGGCCACGCGAGGCCGCGGCGATGATGGTGGTGGCGGTGCTGGTGGAGGTCACAGTGGTGGTGACGGTGGTGGTGATGGCTGCGCTGTGTCCCTGCGGGCCGCGCTCGCCGCCCCCGCTCTCCTCCTCCATGCCGCCGCGAGTTCCTCCTCCTCGTCGTCCTCCTGCTGCTGCTGGCGGTGACGCCGCGCGGCCTCTCTGAGCTCCCTGCGCCCCACGTACTCGTGACGTCGCCACCGATGTTCAACAACCGCTGACACTGAGAGAGCCCCGATAGCGACGCGGCGACTACCAACTACGTCAACGGCAACGAGAGCCACAGCAACCGGAGCTTCAGCAGCGGCAGTCGCAGCGGCAGTCACAGCAGCAGCGGCGGCCGCGCTCCCGCCGCTGTGGCGCCGCCTCCTCCACGCCGCGCGCCATCTTAAGTCCCCGCGCGAAACGCAGCGCAGTGACGTCACCCTCACCCCCCACCACCACGTGACACCCCTCCCCCTAAACCCCTCCCCCTAAACCCCTCCCTCTTAAACCCAACCCCCTAAAACACCTCCCCCCAAACCCTACCCACCTCTAAACCCCTCCCCCCTAAACCCCTCCCCCCTAAACCCCTCCCCCCCTAAACACCTCCCTCTTAAACCCAACCCCCTAAAACACCTCCCCCCAAACCCTACCCACCTCTACACCCCTCCCCCCAAGCCCCCCCTCTAAACCTCTCCCCCAACCCCCCCTCTAAACCCCCCCTCTAAACCCCCCTCTAAACCCCTCCCCCCTAAACCCCTCCCCCCCTAAACACCTCCCTCTTAAACCCAACCCCCTAAAACACCTCCCCTCAAACCCTACCCACCTCTAAACCCCTCCCCCCGAAACCCCCCTCCCATACCCCTCCCCCCAAGCCCCCCCTCTAAACCTCTCCCCCCAAACCCCCCCTCTAACCCCCCCCCCCTTTAAACCCCCCTCTAAACCTCTCCCCCCTAAACCCCTCCCCCCTTAAACCCCAACCCCCTAAAAGCCCTCCCCCCCAATCCCCACCCCCCTCTAAACCCCTCCCCCAAAACCGCCCCCAAAACCCCACCCTAAACCCCACCCTAAGCCCCTCCCCCTCTAAACCACTCCCGCAAACCCCACCCCCCCAAACCCCCCCCCCCCCCAAAAAAAAAATGTGGACCCATGTCTAACAGTCGTTGCTTGGAGACATCCAGCAGGTTACCAGCTTTGGTTCCAGCAAGCCTGACTGCTTAATGAGATCCTGACTGTCAAAGCCGGTCTCAAGTTTTGCTTTGCGTTGATTCAATACTGCTGATAAGATGAAACTCACAGAAGGCGGTATAGCTGATGGGATGTGTAAATGATACAGCACAATACTTGTATTTTTGTGTGTGTGGAGACACACATGCTCGATGTTACTCACGTAACGAGTCTTCAGGTCAACATTCACACTCGGTTGTTCGGCTCGGCACCGTACGGATGGTGCGGACAACGAGAGAGCAGAACCACTGCTGGGTCAAGGACACGAGGGGAAGCTATTGTATATGCCGGGTATTGATAATTTAATGAAAATAATACAAATGTAATGAAATTTGGCAAAGTGCGTAACTAGCCGAAATTATGCTAATTAATGTAATTATGCACATGAATTATACTAATTAGAGAGATAATCGTATTAAGTTACACAATTGCATGCGATTATGCTAATACGTCCATTATGGTAATTAGGCTCCGCCTCGTTGTCGAGGGTAGTATTATCAATAGGGATCACACAATTGTATGAAGTTATGCAGGTGTGATGTAAGTATGCTAGATTAAACGTTGCTTCGTCGTCTAGGGTCGTATTATCAATCGGTATAATACAATTGTTCTCGCTTTAACATTTACGGATTATGTATTAGTGTGTTTATGTCAAGTCTTCAAATGCAAATCTCACCGCAGGATACAGTTCTTATTATTAAGATTATTATGCATGAACTTAAGAAGGCACCACTCAGACACTTCTGTGTTAAGCAATTTTAATTTCTAAACAAACCTTAACACTGTAATATGCGAACTCTTATGCTTGGAATTGTCAACACAGTACTCCTGGAGATGTTCCCCTCATTGATCCATACATTTAACCCTCAATGGTCACGTTTGTTAATTGGGTAACAGAACAATCGATTATCCCTCAGAGTACGCGACCATCCACGGCGAGAGGAAAAGTCCTTAAAAATTCATGCAACGATATTCACACGAAGGGCAATAAAGAAACATGTCCTGAAGGCAAGAGTAGTTATCAATTAATTCATTGGTAAGATTATGCAATTAAAAAGAAAAAACGAACGACTAAAATACTTCTAAATGACCGTATCCACGTAACTCAATGGGCAGCAATGTTCTTCACGATCAGTTGATATTTAATGCACCACCTTGGAATGCCAACCCTTCTTGAAACACAAAGATAACTTTTTGTAACAATCTTATTTGTCCCAATAAGCGTGTTGTGTGTCTTCTTTGCCACTTGTTCAATTCTTTGCGTAAAGCAGACGCCGGGCGATGCGTCGTGAGGCTGTGAGTGTGGGGGAGGGTCATACAAACGGCTTCGTTCTCTCTCTCTTGCTCGGGGGTGGCCACAGTTTCTGTCCACAGCTGGCTGGAAGAGTTGGCACGACGCTCGCCGTCGGTTCGCGATGATCCGTCGTCGGATAGCGCCCGCAGCCCGTCCGCTGGCTGCAGTTCCTCACTCTTGTCTTAGTTCCCAGCTGGTACTGGTCGGTGTGCGTGTGGGTCGAACCCACGGCGCGCTCGCTGGCTCTGACACTCTTGCTCACGGGCGGCTGGTCAGGCTTCTTCCCCTGCTGGATGGGCCGAGTCGGCACAACGCTTGTCCGCTGGCAGCTGGCACCCTCGCTTGGTGGCGCTGGTGGCGCTGCTGCGTGCTCTCTCTCTTGCTCCGTCTCTCTCTGGCGGTGCCGATTGCGCGTGCAGCTGGTTATCTGCAATGCTGGCCTGGTCGATGCTTGGCCCTCTCCGCCCTTTCTCGAGGTTGATTGCTTGACGCTGAGAATAACTTTCAGCGATACTCTGTCGGTCCATGCCGAACTCAGCACAGAGCATCACCTCGCCCCTCTTCGCTGCGATGCACCACACGCATTGTTGATCTCGAGGCCATGCCCCGGAGCTGGCTTGCTGTCCTCTTCTGAGCTGTCCCTTGCCGAGCTTAAATGTGAAATTTTCTCTCCTCTCTCCGCGTCTCTTGCGAGAGAGAAAAAACAGATGCCCTCTATCACCGTCCTCCTCCCGTGGCAGGAGCGGCCTGGCTGCCCCCCCCCCCCCCTTTTTGACCTTTGACTAACTGTTTTACCATCACATTTTGTTTGTTTGCATTCCCAACCCCTCTCTTCGTGGTCTCTCCTATTAGGGAGGGGAGTCACTCTCCCTTCATACGTATTTTATGGCTACCATGTGTTTGTGTCAAATTGTTGGAAGACAAAGGCGGCTGGGGAGGCTCTGAATTCATGGAATACATATTATCTGGTCTTGTGTGTTTGACCTATTTTCTTGTATCTCTTTTGAGTTACCCTTGGTCTAATCTCTTGTGATTATTATTTGGTTTATGTTTAACCAAGATTTGTAATGTCATTAGATGTTATCTCCGGTATTTCAAGGGTTTTATTACTTTTTGCCCCTGTCTGCATCCAGGGATCCGTGCTTTTTATTCTCGAGGTCAGAGATATAGCTTAATTTGGACTTAAGTTTTCGTGATTGCAGGAACTCATGTACTTTGGTTCTCTTGGTAAAGTCACGTAGATAGAAAGATACAATAAGAAAGAATATAAGGAATACTGCAGTCTATAATGCTGACTTATTCTTATAGCCAAGCTTCAACTTTTTCCGTACAAAACATATATATCAGTTATAATGTCCGTTTGCCCTGTGCTCTGTGTCCGTGCCTGTGATTCTGGAAATTTGTTTGTGAACTGTCCAAAGCGCCAAGCAGGTCATGGCATGCGGTCCTTTGGCAATCTGGAGATTTTGCAGATCGTCGTCGTAACCTCCCTTTGCCCCGGAGTTTATTATTTAATGGCCTTTTACGACCGCCAAGTGCTTGGTGCTTGTGGGAGGTAGCGGTTTTGAGGGTGTTTTATTTACTTTATCGATTATTATTATTAAACAAATGGCAGAATTATTGTTAATATTAATTTTGGAAAAAGGCCAATATATACAACAAAGCCGTAGCAGGATGTGTGTGTGATGTCGTCTATCCTGGGGAATTATTGAAGGTGGACCGCGCTCAAAATGATGAAATCAAGAGGAATTACAACAGCCGTGTCAGAGAAAGGAATGTGATACTGAAGAACGGAGTTTTAGTGGACATTACCGGCTATCACATGGGATAGAATCATTGATATTTTATACATGCATTGTCACGTAGTAAGCACAAACTGTGCTGTTGATCTTTCCAGTGGCACAGGGTGTGGGATCTGAACTGTGGCTCCGACAGCTTGCGTCACAGAAACGAATTGCCTGTGCAAGTGTACGCCACAGGTGTGAAAAGCAACATTGAGTGGCAGTGCAATACCACAACATGATACCACAACATGATTTTAAGTCTAAATTTAACCGCCTCTACGGGGAGGGTTTCCACATAACCATAAGATCTTTTAACAAACTCCGAGACAAGAAAGCTCATCTGATCGAGTCATTCACACTGACCTCTGCTGCTGTCAAAGCTTCCAATGCCAAACGAATTTTGTTTAGAGCTAGCTTAGTCCTGATCTCTGAGAGAATTAGACTGCTCCGCACTGAACTGGATCATGCAAACAAGACACTCTTGAATTTACACTTAACATTAACAGAAAAAAGGTCTACATTTGATTGGGAACATGTAGATAACATGACCGCTTTATCAGCCGCTACAATGTCAGCTAAATGTAAAGATAATCTGATTTCCAAATTCAAACTCCTTTCAAAGAAGAAACCAGATCCACACATTAAAAAGTTAGACCTTGACAAGGTTGTTATCAATCTGAGTAATAGCCCAATCTCCAATGGTCTAAAGTCGGTTTTGGCTAAAGGATTTAACTTTGCAGTCACCCCCAAACACATACCAATTGATGATATTGCTCAGGTCGATGTAGCCCTTAAGGATTTGGGACACATCGCTGCAGATGTGACAAGATCTCAAATCGCTGCAACCCTCAAAAGCACTAAGATACCAGTCAGCAACATCAGTAAGGAGGAGCGCTTTTAGTTGTTTCAATTAAAAAAGAGGGAAGATATTGTCATCCTCTCAGCCGACAAGGGTAATGCCACGGTCATTATAGACAAAAACGTGTACAATAAAATTCAGGACCTACTTAATGATGGTAGCTACACAAAGATTAAAAGAGATTCTACCAACTGCCTCGTTACAAAAACGAACAGTATCATCACTGAATCAGCTTCATTAATTGGACAG